ATTGACAAAGTCAGCAAAGAAATCAGTGGTGAGAGGGGCCAAGATCAACCGCGAAGTCTGTTGTCTTGTGGTTGAGTGCGTGGAAGGTAGTTTCTCTTCCGGGACATTTTTCTGGACGTATGGGTCGATCAAGATTCTCAGCTTCTGGTTCGGTCCTGATCTCCAGTTGGAAATGAATTGGTCGGAGGTTCAAAGGAAGGCCGAAATCGCAATTAATTTGTGGTCTTGGAAAAATCTTCCCTTAAAGGCGTTGGCGGAAGTATGTGTTTCACACATCTGCTCGATTCTCCTTTACCGACTCTCTCTGCTTCCACTTCCTTTTGACAGTTTACTGGCGTTAGTGAGGCTCTTGTTCTCTTTCTTGTTGGGAGGCAAGGCCACCAGAGTCTCTCAGGAGATCTGTAGCCTTTATCCATCTAAAGGCGGTCTAGGTATTTCTAGCATTGAGATTCGTCAATATACGCTTCGCATCGGGTTCCTGGATCGTATGTGTCGCGAACCGGATGAGGTGGGCGCCTTCTGGAAGGAAGATGCCCGTAAGATCTTCCCATCCTTGAGAAGCGTGCACTCGTCCGAGGAGGAGGCCCACTGTTTACCCAAAATCGAGGGCTTCTACCGTGAATGTCTTCGTACTCTGAAACGACTCTTATGGGCGTCGGATGGCCTCTCCAACGTCCAGGCGTTGTCTCGGAAGGCATATCATGTGTTAGTCAGAGAGGCCGTTCGTGATGAACTGCTTGACGAGCTCGGTCTTACGAAGCAGGAGGCTCGCTCGATATAGCCTTGGGCGCCCGGGTTGAAACGTCTCAATAACAATGAGGCTGATGATGCGTGGGGCCCTCTAGATCACCAACAGACTTTGCACAACGGGATTAGAGGAATATCAAAATTGTCGCCGTTTAGTGGGGAAGTGGAGACTATTGGTAACGCCTTCTTCCATTGCAGGGTGGTAGCGCCGTTGGTCAGTTATGTTGAAGGCTTCATGGTTCGCATGCTGCCTGGAAAGTTCTTTGTCCTTGAGGCCGCTTCTGTTTGTAGCAATGTGGCTCTGCCACTGACAAGGACTGAACATTATGTGTTCTTATGTTTGCTAGGTGTTATGAGAGTTGTGATTTGGACGACACGCCAGAAGGAATACTATGAAGGGGAGAAGTTCACTTTCCCCCAACTGATCTTATACTTTAAGCATCAGCTTGTGATTAAGATTAAGACGGAGAAGCGGCGACTTACTTCATCAAAATTCGGCAAAAGATGGGTAAATCTTGCGTGTTTGTGCCGTGTGAAAGGGGCTGACTTGGAGTGGCATTTTGATGCCGGTTAGGCATCAGAATATTGCTTTATCGGGGTTGAACATAGGCAACCCATTCTGAAAATAGTTTAGCTTAGGTTTGGTGTTTTTTTTAATTTTTAGTTTTCTTTTTCAATAAACTTAGCTAGTGTATGTATGCACATTGGCCCCTTTTATTTATGTCCCTATTTTTATTTAAGTTTAATTCCACGTCTCCTCCCTCGTTAGGTGGTCAGTGATTTCAGTTCTCTGGTGGATGCGGAGGGCCTTTCCTTTTACGTGTGTGTTTTTCGCATTTGTTGTTGTGTCAGAATGCGTGAGTGTCTGTGTGAGTGCTTGCGATGGATGACTGTTTTCTATATTTTTATACCCCCGCATCGGTTTCGTCCGGTTAACTGATATTTATGCCACATTTAAGGCTTGTGTGGGTTTTTATTACTAACATGATTTTGTTTAGTTACGTGTAAATATTTTAAGTCATATTGTACAGAATCAATGGGGATTTTTTAACTTGCTTTTATTCCCCTCCTCCCACAGACAATATTTGTACATATGTGGTATTATTTAGGATTTTCATTGAGACAATGAGGTATTTTTGTGGATGTTGTAAGAAAGGTAAGTATGAATGTGTTGTTTTGGTGATAGGAATATTGTTTTGTTTGCTTGTGTCAGCGTTTGTTGATAGCTAAGTTTCAAAATTAAAACAGATGATGAGCGTTCTTTCCCATTCCCCACATATTCTGTCTTTTAACGGAAATAAATATCCTCATGCCTACACTTGCTCTCTTTGTTATTACACCGACATCGAGTTCTTGAAGAATCATACGAAAATAATGTAAAATAAATAGAAAGCCTTGGATGTAATGGGTATTCAAATCAATCACTAGGCTATGCGAGAATAGAAAAAAAAATCGCGAGGTTTCAAACTTTCTTTTGCTAACTCACTAAAGCCAAAAAAAAAAAACTGCTGTTAGTGGTAGGAAAATATACTACTAATAATAATATTACTAATAATACTAATAATACTACTACTAAGAATACTACTACTACTACTGCTAATAATTATAATAATAATAATAATTGTCATAGGTTCTTACCTATAACTACAGAATGAACTCTTCCTAACACTATGCATACTACGCCTCTCAAGAGAGAGGGACGAATCGAGTCGAGCCGATAGTAGTTCACTCCAAACCAGACTGACAGTCATACTAACACTTTCTACATATTGTATTATTATTTCGTGTAATATACCTTCATTATTTCTACTCTTGTGTTCGTGTTGTTCTTCCTTGGTCCTAACATGGACCATAATAATATAAGCAGCAGCAACAATATCGAAAATGCGAAAAAAATACCATGATATTTTGTCATCGAAACTGAACATTTATTTGTGAGTTGAAATGTTACCCTCGCTAAGATAATTTTTGACTGCACTGGTGTGTTGAATTAAATAATAACCAACAATTATAGGTAGGGTCAAATAAATATTTGATAAATTAATAATATTAACAGCAGCAAATTTTGAAGAAACGCAAAGTTTCGAAGAGAATCGTAAACCTGATACAAAACAATAAAAAATTTAAAAAAATGGAACACGCCAGAAATTGTTTACTCCTTCCGCTGTGATACATCACTGATTGGACTTGAATTCTATGAAATATTTGCCTTCACAATCACTGATCACGAGAAATCAACATGTGTTTTTATCAGAGGTTTTGAGAAAATATCTCTTAAACTTGGTTTAGCAAACAACAGATTTTTCACATTTGTTTTTTTTTTTTTTTTTTGGTTGCCTGCAAAAGAATGAGCCCAAAATGTAAATTGCAAATCGAACTAGTATACAGTTTAAATATCTATGGAGTGTTTTAAAAGAGAACGGGAAGCGTGACACTGAAATCCGAAGGTACATTTTGATAGCTAAACAAGCATTTCAAAAGCTAAGCAAAGTATTAAGACAGAAAAACATCGCTAGAAAGAAGGAAATATTACTATAATTTTACGTGATATCTGTCCTTTTGTATCGCAGTGAATTCTAGAAAATCTCCTCAAAGATGAAGAAGAGACTTGAAATTACATAAATGTGATTCTACAGTATGATGCTAAGGATATAATGGACCGAACATGGGTGCAACTACGAAGTCATAGAAAAAATGGAAACAAAAAGAAAACTTATAGCTAACATCAGGAATAGACAGTTGAAATTTTTAGAGCAGATAAAGAAGAAAGACGGATAGAAAAAATCTAATCCTCAGAGAAAAGATTGAAAGTAAATAGACCAGAGGAGAGTGACGCATAACTTAATGACTTAAATATGCGGCCATTTTAAGTCATTTTTCTTAACTCCACATGTATTTAAACGAAATATATTTTTCAACAAATATTGAATTTTAAAGCGACAAATTATTTTGAGTTGATATTTGATCATCTTGCCGTCAGCTAAGATTGACTTTTGTTTAAAACTTTAAGGAAAGACATAAATCCCAAATATCCAATGTTCACATCTCACATTTAATTGACCAATTCAAATTCATTCTATCTAATTCAGGTCAAAGATCCAAATGGAGGCAAAAGCACCAACAAATAGAAAAGAAAAAAAGAAAATGCCAGAGGATAGTATCGCGATAATTTCCCATCTAGTACATGCCTTGAAAACCATCATTTTTAAATGAAAGTGAACTATTCAGTGATGATAATTTAGTTTTCTATGAAAGCTGAAAAATCAAATGCATGATGATAAAAATTGGGATATCCTAAAGAAATAGTCAAAGAAATAAAGGAAAACACAAACGGTCAAGAAAGAAAGAAAGAAAGAACGAAGGGAAGAAAGGAAGAAAGAAAGAGAACGATGATTAAATAAAATGTGGAAGAGGAAAGAAAGAATGAATGAGAAAGAAAGAAATAAAGATAGATACATAGAAAGAAAGAAAGAAAGAAAGAAAGAAAGAAGATAGAAAGAAAGAAAGAAAGAAAGTAAGAAGACAGAAAGCAAGAAAAAGAAAGTGTGGAAGAAAGCAAGTTAGATAATTCTGAAATTAAGAAAAACATGTAAAAATGAATATGAATTTATAAGTATAATCATCTTATTAATTGGAAACAACATAGTTTCTAAAACAGCATCTGATCACGCCATATTATTCAATCATCAAACGCAGTTTGTAGTTATTTTCTCACCTTTTATTCGTGATTGTAAATGAAAATAAGATAAATCATTTGGTAGGATTATTAATTCCGATTCCAACAGATTTATCACTGGCACATTATTGAACTCATCAAGGCAACAAACCACTTGCAATTTGACACTTCTGGGCTTTTTTTTATTTATTTTCATATCAGCAGTGATATCAGTTCTATTTCGTACATGTAATGATTAACTGTTAAGGGAATATATTTTATAATTTCAGTCTTTTATTATATATGGTGATTAAAATTTCGGTGAAGCAATGACTTCAGACTTAACGGCATCGAAAAGCGTCTATTGAGTTTTATATGTTGTGATTGATCGATAATCCTATTATCAAATTCAATTTATCAAGCCCTAAAAGTCTCATCGTAAATATTCGATAAAACCTTACGTTCTTATTTCGTGTATCTGACAAAATCAAAAATGCAGTGTCCCGGAGATCTTTGGTATCGGGTCAGAAATATAAAATCTGTTTTGTTTGGTTGATTTAAAATTCTGAATCGCTGTAAGAGAAAATATATTTGCCCTATGAACACTTCCTATGTATCTGTTTCTATCTATCTATCTATCTATCTATCTATCTATCTATCTATATGTTTATCTACCTATCTTAGTCTGTCTATATTTATCTATTTACCTGTATGAATTTATTCAAGCAATCGATAGATATATCTATTTACATTTCTCAGTCTCTTCATATCTATCTATCTATCTATCTATCTATCTATCTATCTATCTATCTATCTATCTATCTATTCATATCTACTTCTCTCACTTTATCCGTATCTATCTATCTATCTATCTATCTATCTATCTATCTATCTATCTAAGTCAACGCATACCCACTTGTCTGTACTTCCTTTTGTTCTATCTATCTATATCAGTCTATTCATCGATATCTATTGCTCCGTATCAGTCTATTCATCGGTATCTATCTATCTATCTATCTATCTATCTATCTATCTATCTATCTATCTATGTATCTCTCTCTCTCTCTCTATATATATATATATATATATATATATATATATATATATATATATATATATATATATATATATATATATACCACTACCAGTCTGTCCATGTCTAACAATTGATCTATTAAACCAAAATCAGAAGACAGAATATAAAGATTGGCATTGCATTTAAATTAATCCACGAAGCGGGAAGACAGCCCCACAAACGAGAAGAAACTGTTAACATAGAACGTACGGTTACAGCTAGTCATTTCATTAGTAAAATGAGATCTTGCCACCACTTCCTGATAGCAAACCTAACAATTTATTCAGCATAATCTTAAAAAGGTACTCTCTGACAATTAAAAGAGAGAGAGAGAGAGAGAGAGAGAGAGAGAGAGCAATATTATCTTGGAGGATTTAAAAGCCATTTATTGCCCCAGTTAACAACAGATTGTAGTTCATGTTTAAGCTCAGTAGCTAATATGACCTTATCGAAACGATTAGATTTACCATTAATCTAAAAGTTAATAATTGTGTCATCAGCATAGATATTGATTTTCTCAAATAAATACCTGTATACCCTCACATGTTTTCCAGTCTAGTACTTTCGAGTAATTTGACACCGGAACCTTTTAATAGTTCAGTGTATTAATTTGTTCAGACATAATTTGAGTTTAATTATCTGATCAGATATTTTACTGGTTATCATTTCCAGTAATTTCAGACAGTTTGATATTAATGGCCTTTATACGGTTACTACAGATATTTGTTCAAATGAACAGCATTGTCACAATCTGCTGAAACTGAAAACATATTGACTTTTACCAAATTGTGTGCGTCCTGTGTAAGACGATAAACTACATCCGACAGCAGGCCTTTGTTCTGGAGGTTTTGAGGGGCATGAAACTACTACTTAATTGATGGGGTTTGCAGGTCTATCCTGACCTGAGTGGTAGCACTTGCCAGGGTCCCAGCTATGGGAAAATTTTTAACCCACCAAAAGGGGACAAAACACCATGAAAGCATAAAAATAGATATTAATAGCAGCAATACATTTCTGGAAAAATTATTACCAACAATACATTTTTAAAAAAAAATATTACCAGCAATATATTTTTGAAAAGATATTACTGACAGTACATTTTTAAAGAAAATAAATCTTAGCAACAGTAAAAATTAATCGGCATTAAATAAACCAGTGAGATTGATATGCCGTTAAACAAACTAAACTAAACTAAACCAAATTTTGGACAAAAATGAAACGAAGATCTACAAAATCTAAGACATATTCTTTGGGTATTGTACAATCAATTTGTTCAATAAAGGATATGCCATTATCTCGGTCTTGTGTTTGACGATGCGGACATTTTATTAAGCTCGATTCTCAGTTAAATTCACTATTGTAATACGTTTTTACTGCTTGTATCATTATTGAGTTCTTGGGCCATACGAATTCTAACAGGTGCCTGCCAAAGTACACAGTATTTCTTACTCTGTCTATATTTCTGAGATGAGGCATTATATATATTATTTACATTATTCGGACTATTGTCCTCATCTTTGTCACCATATTTATTACAACGTTTCGGCCGTTGTAAGCTCTGGCCTTCTTCATGTGGTTGCAATATCGAACTTAACCCTTTATTTCGCTCACTGGGGTAGACTGTTCTAGTTCCTCGTGCCATGTTTTAATGGATGCCAGTTATCAGTTATCTCCTGTTAATTTCCCTTTGAAAGTTCTCCACTGCCTTAAACCCGGAGAAGAAAGCCGGAGCGTACAACGGCCGAAACGTTGTGATAAATATGGCGACAAAGATGGGGACAATAGTCTGAATAATGCAAATAATGTATTTCGTACTGTTGTCAGTTTTTGGTGATCAAGTTTCGACATGTAGCTCATAATTTAAACATCGATATTTAAAGCAAAACGATTCTCATAGTTTGGAAGAATGAAAATATGTCATTGTATCGCACTCAGCTAAAATGAAAACGTCTGTAAGTTTATTTATATAGTATACCCTAATGAAACTGATGAATTATATTTTAAAAAAATGATTTCCGACTGATTTCATTAAATATAAATCTATTTAGCTTATTGTCAGGTGATGCATTACACATTGTACAAAAGATATGTAGCTGAAGCCATAACATTGTGTAAAAATATCCATAATTTAAGCCTTAAAAATACATACAGAAAATCCGTAGTGGATGCTTAATATTGCGTACAAAGCATCTGTAGTTGAAGCCTTAGCCTTAAAATTATCATTACAAAATATGTGTTGTTGAAATCATGAAATTGTGAACAAAATATGTGTAGTTGAAGACTTAAAACTGGATACAAAATATGTGTAGTTGAAAGCATAAAATTGCGTACAAAATATTTAGATTTTGGCATTAAATAACCCATAGATGTGTTGATATGCCACAGACCATAAACAATCAAATCCAACCAATCCGTTTACGGTACGGTGCTAAGCTTAAAATTTTTCACCGTAGCATGATTATTTTCATCCTGATTATTAAACGTTTATCTCAGTTGGAAAATATACACCTGGATATGCATTCCAGTTGTCACTTGTATCTCTATCAATAAAAGGCAGGACGTGTGTGTGTGTGTGTGTATGTGTGTGTGTGTGTGTGTGTGTGTGTGTGTGTAACGAATGCACGGCCCAATTTTGCACCAAAATTTACATACACATGCTCCAAGTTTGCAGGAAGGCCGCGACAGACATTGCATTTCCCAACTCCCATCGATATTGGAAATAATCGATTTTTTCATGCTTCTACGGCAGTTTTCGTGTAATTTGCGGCCATTTTCTACTGGCCAGAGTGAGAGCTTATAGCTGGCTGCCACGAATAGGCAGGAAGATTCTATTGGCCAGCGTGAGAGCCAATAGCTGACTGACACGAATGTTAACTAGCATGCTAGCATGCAATACAAATCGATAGCTGCATTCGTCACAAGTAGGAAAAATTTAATCTGCAATGCACTTTACTCCATTTGGCTCATTCGCTTGCTTAAACTCAACGTTGATTCTGATTCCGCAGAACTGGGTTAGGTGCGAAAAAAGTATTTGTTGTTAACATTGTTTTTTCATTCGGTTTTTCCAGTTACGAGTCCTTTTTTAAAGCTGATCGTTTTGTGTTCATTTTGTTTAGTTCTTTTTTCGTAACAGATTTAATGTTTAGTATAGAGCTTAGAAAAAAATCGCAGTGTGAAATAGGCGAGAAGTAAGGCATGTAGCAACATGAGCACGGCAAAGGGCACTCCTTTAAAGGCAAGGAAGGGCAAATATATTTTAAGTCAAGTGATAGCGATTGCTGTATGAGTCGTACGATATTTGAATCAAGCACGGGCAACGAGGGACCATGCTGCTAGTTTAGTACAAAAGTGTTCTAATGAATTATCAACTAATTAACGGTTTCCTTTCATATTTTACCGTTATAAAGCGATTATTGGCGTAGCATGTGTGTGCGAATTCTAAATTCCAACCGACACCATTTTAGTCACGGCAGGAAAATGAAACTTGGGAGAATTATGAATTAATTTCTTTTTCTCCTTATTTAAAGATTAATACCGATCTCGAATGTCCTGTCTAGGTGAAGGAAAACTCTGAAATTAAGTCTGGTTGGCTGTTAGGTCAATAATTCTATCATACAGCAAACACCGCAGCCCGTAACCTGGTTTGTCTTTAACGTTATACATCATAGACGAACAGTTGTAAAAGTCTACAAGATTACTTTGTTGACGATTGTTCTATACCAATGGGATTAGAATCATACTATTTGTAAAAATTGGAGGCCGAGAATTTTCAGAAATGCTTTACAAAATTCAGTTATTCTTATTTTCTCAGTTGCAGTTATTGTGTCGACAGTCCAGAATCTTAGAGAAACCTGTAATGACTGGAATATTTTTAAATGTTTGTAACGTCATCATTGTTATTTACTCAGCCAAGCTTCGTCGTATACAAATGTAGACAGACGTTAGAAAAAGGTTGCAAATGGCAGAGAGTCAGGACTGTGGAACAATCGTTTATAGATAGGAAGTTATTTACATTTACTTAGCTTTTGTGGCTCAGACACAAGGCCAGTGGAGCCCTTAAGACGTAAAACTTTATTAATATCCGCGAAGTCGAAGCTGTTAAACATCTGTTTAAATTTAGGTAATAAGTGATATTTATAAAGCATCACGTCCCGAAGCGTAGAGAATACGAGATTTATTGCTCGAAAATACAGCAATTGTGGCAAAGGATATTGTAAGCGTGGCTTAGATGTGGCACAAGGCCGGAAGTATGGAGCACCCAGTGAGAAGCAAACTCAATATTCAGTCCTAACTGACCTAGTGAGGCAAGATTGAAAAGGATTACGCCACGTCTACGTGCCTAAAAGTGATTTTCCAAGCGTAGCTTAGATGTGGCACAAGGCCGAAAGTATGGGGCACCCAGTGACGATGACACTCACTACACAGTCATAAACTGTTATAGTGGGGACAAGCTTGCTAACCAGTACACCGCCTTGAGGTGCCCCGAAGCGTAGAGATCACTATGATCTATGAAACGATAGTATTGTTTACGAGCTGAAACTGTTAAACATTGATTGGCCTGCAGTGACAAGGTTGAGAGATTGATTTGTATTTTATGGCTTATCAAGCCTTTGTGGGTTAAACCGAAAGTTATTTTCGATTGAACGATTAAATATTTATTTTATTGCAAGTGAATATGAACATTGCCATAACATTAATCTTTCAGAACTGTTGCATTGTCTAACCCAATAATTACAATCTGATGGTTTTCAAGTCTAGTGTTAACCGTTATCTATCAACTATATCCTCGTAATATACACCCCTTTCCCCCCTGTTTGTACGCAACTATTTTTTAACTCCATTGAGTGGCTCTTGGTTCTTGTACTGGGTGAGCAATAGTTAAAATGGTTAATTCAACAGGCTGAAGTTTGTGTGCGGTTCTCAAATCTACGCCAAATGAAAATAATTTTGAATCTTTAAGAATAAATATAACACTGTTTAAATATTTTGATTTTCAACCGAATATTACAACGTTTATTTTTTGTCATAAATTCTCGCTCTTTTATCGCCAGTCTCATTTATTTTATGCATTTAATTAATTATGTTAAAATAAGCGCTGTTTTGTGATGCACATCTTGCTTTCTTTGCAGTTTTTATTCGTTTGTGTCTTACGCACACATCACGTTAAAACATCGGTTGCGTACTATCAAAAAGTTTAAGCAACATCAACCCTGTTTAGTGAGCTGATAGGTGAGCTCTTCGGCTGTAAGTTGCTGTAAGTTTGTATGTGGGTGTGGTGTAATGCATTAATGACACGGAATTGTTAAACTGAGAGCAGAGTTCCAATTCATGTTGGGTTCTCTATATTTACTTACATTCAAATAACTTTGGGAAAGGTAAAAGCTATGGGTAAACTAGTAAGTCTTTTTTTTATCACTAAACCATTATTATCTTCAAAAAATTGGTAAAATTTAGAAAAATCTTGTGGAATTAAATAACATGTAAACGGTTGTGTTATGGTCCAGGTTATGACCAAGGATAAACAACACGAACACAAAAATATAGAAATAACGAAGGTATATTACACGAATTAATAATACAAGAGGTGGAAGGTGTTAGTATGACTGTCAGTCTGGTTTGGAGTGAACTACTATCGGCTCGACTCGATTCGATATTTACTTGCCCCTCGCCGAGTTTAATGTGGGTTTTATGAGCCCGTAGGCTCGACCAAAAATGCCCATAGAAACTGTAAAAACATAATCGGGTTGGTCAACGTCCCCGGACGAGGCTCTACCCTTCGACAGAGCCTCGCCCGATTTCCTCTCTGCTCAGAGGCAGTGTTCGACTGTCAAGCCGAAAAGCTCGACTCGATTCCATATTTACTTGCTCTCCCACGAGGGCTGCATGTAAGCACAAGCCCGAGTTTACGTGGGTTTTCCGAGCCCGTAGGCTCGACCAAAAAATGCCCATAGAACCCGTATAAACGGGATCAGTTTGGTCAACCTCCCCGAACGAGACTCTGCCCTTAGGCGGAGCCTCGTCCAGGTTCCTCTCTGCTCAGAGGCAGAGAGTTCGACTGTCATGCCGAAATGGCTCGACTCGATTCGGTATCTAGCCACACCACCCACGAGGGTTGCATGTGACACAAGGCCGAGTATAATGTGGGTTTCCTGAGCCCGTAGGCTCGGCCAAAAATTCCCGTAGAACCCGTATAAACGGGATCCGGTTGGTCAACCTCCCCGAACGAGATTCTGCCCTTCGGAGGAGCCTCGTCCGGGTTCCTCTCTTCTCAGAGGCAGAGAGTTCGACCATCAAGCCGAGAAGCTCGGCTTGATTCGACCCTCTCTCTTGAGAGGCGTAGTATACATAGTGTTAGGAAGAGTTCATTCTGTAGTTATAGGTAAGGACCCATGACAGGTTGATAAACTGTAAAAAACAAATCCATGAATATTTGTGCTCCGTTTTGATTTGTAAATCTCAGGAAGAATGAATAATTACTTGGAGAAAAAGAGAATTAATTTCCTCAAGGACACATGGCACAGTGGATAAAGGCCTTGGTTAGATCCAGTGACTGGACCCAAAGAGTGTGAGTTCAATACCCGGTTAAGGCAGTGGAGAACTTTAAGAGGGAAATTAACTGGAGATCACTGATAACTGACATACATTACACATGGCACGTGGAACTAGAACAATCTACCCCAGTGAGCGAAATAAAGGGTTCAGTCCGACATTTCAACCACCTGAATTAATTTCTGATTATATTTTAAGAACACAAATCAATTATAAAACAAACAGCATGTTGAAATGACACTCTTCCCCACTGTTTCAAACTTACTTTCTTATCGAATATTTAATACTAATATATTATTAGTATTAGATTGGGTGATAAAAAATTTCTGTTTTTGTGAATCAATTTTCATGTATCATCATAACCGCTCGTTCCATAAATATATCATGATAGGTGAAGAATAATAGGTTATAGTGGTTTTTAAAGCGTAGCTTAGATGTGGCACAAGGCCGAAAGTCTGGAGCACCCAGTGAGAAGGAAAATCAATATTCAGTCGTATTATTCTTCATCAATCCGAATATATTAATTTAAGTCAGACCAAAAACTCCCAGACAATGTAAACTAATGTTATTATCGTCGAGATGAACAGCACTCAAAATCCAGGGATCATCCATTAAAATCTGGCACAAGCCACAGAATATGGCTTATATCGATGTAAAAGTTAAGGCCTCAAAACACGGATGAAAAGCGCATTCACTTCTGTCTGAATGTCTGCCTAGAGGAGTTATGATCATTTACCCAAATTACATGTGGACAATTGTTCTCAATTTTGTTTTTATCAAAACGTTTCGGCAGTTATACCCTCCGTGCTTCATCAACTGTATTTCGTTCCGTGTGATTGAATTCCGAAGTGATTTAGTTAATCTACGGAGTAGACAGTGTCGTTCTATGTCTAGGGAAATCTCGTCTAGATCTTATTTTTAGTACTGCTCAGTTATTCGCTCTGTTTCCACTAAGTACCGTCCTGGGTATGAAGATAAACTACATCCGGCAGTGACTCTGATAAGAAGATTCTAATGCGAATGGAACCACTTCTTATTTGATGATGTTCCAAGGTTTACCCTTACCTGGATTGCTAGCAAATGTTAGGTTCCCAGCTATGGACAAATTGTTAACCCCCAAACTGGGTCCAAGTCATTATGAATGTGTGAAAATAGGTTTTAATACCTGCAATAAAATTGTGGAAAAAATTGCAAGAAATGCATTATTAATAGTAATACACTTTTGAAGAGGAAATTATGAGCAATAAATCTTGAATAGGGGAAGCATTACCATCAGTGAATATCTTGTTGTCATTAAATAACCCATTGAGATTGATATGCCGCAAAAAAAAAATATCATTTCAAGTACACAACGTACGATCCAGGGATGGAACTAAAATTGACTGTAACCAAATTCAGAACAATTTTCTGGGGATCATGGATGACTACTGATGACTAGTACTGCTGCTGCTGTTGTTAATGATGATTGACATGCTTTACCGCACACACTGAAGTTTTTTCCGGTTGAGATGATAACAAATATAATGGCATTTCTCATTTCTCTTTATCTTAATTCTACTTTACTGCAAAGGAAAAGTTCCAGGCATTTTTCTCTCAAATATCCAAATTTCTCTCAAAAGGGAATTTTATAAACTGTCACTTTTATTTTTGTATATAATGATTTACTCTGTTATGTCATACGAAATACATTTTTTATTTCCTAGTATTTTTCTTGAAGTATCATCTAGGTTTTATTCAGTACTGATGTGAGAGGAATTCTGTTCTTTCCCTTTCACCCTAATGATAATGATACACATGGCTCACCCTAGTCTCCTCAAAAACCACCTCTACTTTTCAGGTGTCCTTCGTCACTTAAACGTAAAAAGTTAAAATACAGTTTTGCGCTTATGAAAAACATCTATTACTGGCTTTTTTCTCAACTTTTTATTTAATCTATATTGATTTTGATGTCTAAATTCCTTGCTATTTTAATTTTATCTTTTTATCGTAAAGAAAAAGATGTAAATATCTCCGATAAAATGTCATTACCTAGAAAAAACGGCTTCCAGACGACATCGGAATCTCCAGCAACACTTGTGGAGGGTTTTCTCATTTAAGTTGCTGAATCATACCATAATCCTTACATTCCCTTCCTCTTTAATGTTAGAAGGGGTTTTGTTGACTCTCATAATCATCAAGGTTGTTGCAGTGTGGGGTGTTAGGTGGCCAGATGTGACGGGTGATGTGGTTTAAGAAATAGTCTGACAGCCATGACTGGGTTCTAGTGCTTGTATGGGCATTGCAAGACATAGTGTCTTCCGGCAGTCCCACTCTTAACCCAGAACAGCCTTACCTTCTCAAGGTATTGTTGTCGGTCTCCGTATTTTAGTTTGAGGTCCTTTGGGAAAATGGACAGAGGCATAAAGTAGCCATCATTTGTGATCACTCCAAACACGATGATCTTGAAGGAATATATCATCCAACCATTTCCAAATACTCTGCACTGTCTTCAGATTAACACTCAAGGAATCTGAAATATTCGTACTGGATCTTCCAACGTGAATGCCAAGCAATACAGCATGCCTTTTCAGAATTTCTGGTAGACTGATTCGTGTCATGGTGTTTTTTTTTCTCAAAGACGGTATCCATCTGACCCTAAATGAGAGTACATTCAACAAAATCAAAAACAAACGATGCGGATGCATGAAATCAAAAATGTAAAATTTACCCATTGCACTCTGTATGTATGTGAGGAATTGCTTTCAATTACAGTTTTTTCCCACTTTCCTGTTGGCATTACGGTATCGGCATGTGGCTATTTACACGGATAAATTTTCCCTTCTCTCATTAACTTCTAACGAATACTGTAGATAGTTATACATTTTTATATCACTACGCAGTAGATCAGAAAAGACCATACATTCAGGTATAAAGTGAAGAATACTCAGATCAGCGCAATTAAGAATCAAAAACATAAATGCTACAAATGTGAAATGAACTAACTTAAACTTCCAGGAAAATTTAGATGAAAATTCACAAGTTTAGAGAACAATAGGAAGAAAAAAACAAATTTATATAAAATTTAAGGGAGAAAAAAATACACATAAAGATATTATCTCTGCTGGGCGAAAATTATATTTTAGAAACTAAAACAAAAACTTTCCTATTTAAGAGCAGAAGAAAAAATAGCTTTCTAATTAATTACGTCAAAGCGAAAAAAACAATAAAACTGAATCACAAAGCCAATGTTATCTCAGTGGAGAAATGAAACCCATTAAGTGATATATTGCAAATCAAACTGCAAAATATAAACGATAAAAAAACGTTAAAGAATGCAGATGACAGAAAATTATGTAAATTAATTTAAACATTATAAAAAAGCAGAAAAAGATAGCATGAAATCATATATAAAGCCAAGAGGAAGCTTAATCTGAGACTGTAAATGTTGTTTAATGTATTAATTATTTGTAATTTGATTTACAAAATACAGCTATTTTCATCTAATATTACGTGGTTAAGCATATTCAAGAGGATAGATAATTTTTGCTCATATAGCGGGATTATCTGTTTTGGTCTCTTATGTTTTTTTACCGGTCCTTGTCATATGTTGTAAAGAGCATTTCAAATGGTGTCCTTATATATATATATATATATATATATATATATATATATATATATATATATATATATATATATATATATATATTTAATAAAAAACAGACCACTTCAAGGTTCCATGTAATAAATTATTTCACCACAGCCCTTTTAAAGGGCTCTGGATCATCAGATTTTACTTCTAAAAGTTGAAATGAAAAATGAAAAGAAATTTTTGACCGGCCGTATTAAGCATATGTAAATTAACGAAGTGAGAAAGTGAGGTGGGGGGGAGAGAAGACATGAGTGAGTTAGATGTACCATTTCAATTCTTTATCCTTAAGCTCACTTGATGTAAGCCAGACATCGCTTAACTTAACGTATGTTATCGCTAGATATAGATGGGTAAGTGGTGAAGAAGAAACCCACATAAAAGGTAAAAGATACAATAAAATAAATCATGAGAGAATATTTCACTCAAATTCTTAGACGCTGTTATTTCGCATTATTTAAAGGGTATATTTAGGGGTTAAAGTTTGATAAATATCTAAATATCTAAACAATCTACGAAGAATTTAATTTGATGTTTGTACATACACATATACACCTGTAGAAAAACACATGCCTTGCCATAGATAGGGTAATATATGTATATATATACGTATAATTATAGGATTTTGTGTATTCGTATATATAATATAGGAGAATATAGATATAATAATGTAATTACGTATGGATATTGATATGTTCTTTGAATGCATGCATATGTGGATGTATGCATATATATATATATGTGTGTGTGTGTGTGTATGTGTGTATATGTGTATATGCATATGTGTGTGTACATGTAATGAGTGTATGTATAGATGTGCATGTATAGGCATTTGTATGTGTGTGTATATATGTGTAGATATATATATATATACATATAATTATATATGTGTGTATATATGTACGTATGTATGTGCATGTGTGGATATGTATGCATATATGTGTGTATATGTTTTTCTACAGGTGTATATGTGTATGTGTATGCAAATAGTTTTGTGTGTATGTGTGTGTATGTGTATATATCGATTTATATGTATATAGGGAGATGTATGTATGTGGATATAGATGGGTGTTCGGATGTGTGTAGAGATGTGTTTGTGTATGGATATATGGAATATTATAAAAGAAGTACCTAATTTTCTGGTAATTATCCAAATTTCTCCTCTAATACTCTCCAATTAGAAATAAGTTTAAATAATACGGAGGTAAATTTTAAATTGATAATTTAATTTAAATTGAAATATATTGCCCTTTAATAATCATTATTGATGACAAAATTATTTAAATTGGAATATCTAAAAACAGTCATGGGTTTAATTTATGAACAAAAGTCAAACGGATAGATGTTAACTTAATAATCAACAATAAAAAAAGTTCAAGCAAATAAAAAAGATTACTAGACGTAAAAGGAATTTATTCTTTCAATGCACTTTCTATGAATTTTTTCCAATCGACTATTTCATAGAAAATACCCAAAACTCCAACAAACATCAAATTAAATTCTTCGTAAATTGTTTAGACATTTAGATTTATATCAAACTTTAACCCCCAAATATACCCTTTAAAGTAATGCGAAATAACAGCGTCTAAGAATTTGAATGAAACATTCTTTCATGGTTTATTTTATTGTATCTTTTTCCTTTTATGTGGGTTTCTTTTTCACCCCTCACCCATCTATATCTAAAGATAACATACGTTAAGTTAAGCGCCGTATGGCCCACACCAAGTGAGCTTAAGGATAAAGAATTGAAATGGTACATGTAACTCACTCATGTCTTTCCCCCCCTCACTTCTTCACTTCGTTAATTTACACATGCTTAATACGGCCCGTCAAAAATATGTAAATTTTTTTCATTTTTCATTTCAACCTTTGGAAGTAAAATCTGATAATCCAGAGCACTTTAAAAGGGCTGTGGTGAAATAATTTATTACATGGTAAAAAAATACTTTTTTACATGGAACCTTAAAGTGGTGTGTTTTTTTTTTTCAAATTTATTTGCTCTGAATTTACATTGAGCTCTCTGGATATCATCCTCCTTGGGTCTACCCATACGGATTACCTAGTTTTGCATAAACTATATATATATATATATATATATATATATATATATATATATATATATAAAATATGTGATGTAGTTTAATTTATATTACAATGACTAATTCATGCAAAAAGTACATTAGTAAAGTCAATAATATAAAATGGCAAAATCCTTTCGCAAACAAAATTTTAAAGCTGCATTAGCCTAGAAATCACACGATGAATGTTATGATTCTTGTTTTAGAAAATTACAAACTGTATAATGTCTTTCTTTAATGGGCAAGTTCTTTCAACTGTACATTCCGTCATCCTCAGGTATGGAAATTATTTTGTTTTGGGTAAAATTCAAGTAGCATCCGTGACGAAAAAATTAAATGCGAATCAAAATATTTTTTTTAACTGTGTTGTTGTTAATGGATACAAACTTTTGAAGCGTGCAGTCGCAACTCTAAGTTTGACTTTATTGAAAATTTACAAGAGTGTGTTTTTTTACTAATATGGCAATTTGAGTTTTATTTTTTGTAGAAGTTGATCGGTCAATATGGCATGAACTAAATTTTTCAATAAATAGAGTATGTCTCAATTGTTATCCCGAAAATTTACACGTCGTATCAGTTCTTTTAAATCAAATACGTGGTGCAGTTCAATTTATATTACAATGAATTATTCATCCAAGAAGTGTATAATTTTTAAAAACACGGATCATAACATTCATCGAGTGATTTGTAGGTTAATGCACATTCAAAATTTTGTTTGCGAAAGGATTTTGCCATTATATATTATTGACTTTAGTATTCTGCTTTTTTGTATGGATAATTCATTGTATATATATATATATATATATATATATATATATATATATATATATATATATATATATATGACGGAATTCATCCTAGCATGGAGTATTGCCTAGAACCCTTCTGTTTGCCTGGGGGTTCTTGATAACATCCAGAGACGGATATGCAATGTAATTGGCCCTAATCTAGCATCTCGTCTGCAGTCGCTCTCTCACAGACGTCCCGTTGCCTCTCTCTGTCTTTTTTACAAAAACTTTCATGATAATTGCTCCGATGAGCTGCCTGTGCTAGTTCCCAGACTTCATGAATTCAAGCGTCCTACGAGGCTATCAACCCACTATCA